TGTGTGTGTGTGTGTGTGTGTGTGTGTGTGTGTGTGTGTGTGTGTGTCGGGGTGACACGGGGTGATATCACTTGTTTTGTTTGCTTTCAGATCCCTTTGTGCGAGTGTGTGATTTTAATAATGACTGACTGAGCAATCTTGACAAATGTTTGACCTTAATGACAGTTGCAACAGCACACAGAGACCCACAGGAACGACACATGGCCGTTCTTCAGTCATTGTTTTAGGGTGATGGTGAGGAGAGATGCATCAGTTGTGCATATAGAGAGTTTGTTGTTTAGTTGGTTGGTTAGTTAAGACTTTAACATTACATTAGCTTGCAAGAGAGGGAGTGGACCACATTGAGGGCAATGTTTGTAAAGCTCAGAAAAGATGACAGAATGGGTTTCTTTATGCATCCTTCTCTTTTCTTTTTTTAAATGTTGCTTTTAAAGGAAGGCGCATGAAACATATGTTGGTTAAAAAAAATACAAGACTGATATCTGATAAGGAAAGCTGGAACAGCCCAGAAGAAAAGTGAGGAGAGGTTGATAAACAAGGAACTCGGGAGGAAATTAAGAGTGATGGGACAAAAAAAAAAGGGAGGGGTTTGGGTAAAGAAAACCTAGTCCATAATTCATTTCACTCATAATGGCTTCATTGGCCCGAAGAGCTGCAGGAATAGTGCAGGCAACGCAGGGCAACCTGATCCCTGGTAACCCAAAGAAACCGGCTAGAGACACAGCCCTGTCTCCAGGCAAACCACACTACATTATACTACAGTATGTATGATACTACAGTCTGCTCTTTGACTGCACAAACACAGTCTCTTGCAACAATACCTCTACCCCCCCCCCAAGCCTCCCCACCGTCCCGACCCCAACTGACGACGCCACCACTGTGCAGACCACAAGCCCCAACTCACACATATATACATACATACACGTATAGAGGTGATTATGTAATTACAAGACAGAAAATGCCATTTTTCATCATGTTGACATACAAACAGAAGTAATGTGCGGCTTTTGTGCTCTTCCCACACTGTACTTTCACTGAGAACTGGGACAGGGAGAGCAGAAAAGAAGAAGAAAATTGTCATTTTCACTGAGGTAACTGCGGTTTTGGGGAGTTGGGATATTGTGCTTTTCAGTGGAGCTGTAAAGACTTGTGGTCTGCACAGAACTGGCAGCTTCAGTTGCGGTCGGTACGCTGCGTATGCTCTGGAGCAAAGGGGCAGGATTGTATGACTAGCCTTGTTTCTTGAGTTGCTCAGCAAAGAAGCGAGCAGTAACAGTAATAGTGATAGTAATGGGGTTCATAGCGGAGAAGCTGGCATCAAACAGCAGAATTGGGCTTACAAATGACTTAGGCTAAGGGTTGTCTGTGGATTTGGGCTGAGCTGGGAGTCTCCTCTGATCTGGGCTCTGTGGGTGTTTCATCATTACAAGTGGCAGCAGTTGGTCTTATTTGTGGCAATCCCAGGTAGCGTCCATGCAGTTATTACTGGATTCACTGTCGGAGAACTTGTGGGTTTTTTAAAGTCTGGTCTTGGTAAAGTTGGAGCCTCCTCTTATTAGTACGTGTGTCATTTAATTGACTCAAAGCCAGAACCATTAAGGTTAATAGGTCAAAGAAGAGCCTATTTTTATTTTTCTTTGAGCGCTTGTGGTATCTGGACATGCAGAGAGTTTTGGTTTTATCTGGCCATCTCTGCCTCCGCCCCAGTACAATGGAGATGATTGGAATTTTTGTTGCTCGCAGCATTGACAAACCTCAACAGCAACCTCTCTTTATAGAAACAGTGTCCCTGTTACTCTGGATAATCTACAGGCCTCACTGAGTTGTGTGTACTACCAAAGAAATAGTCCCTATGAAAACACTTCCTCATATATCATTCTCTCCCTGCAATATATATAACGTGTCCTTTTAACCATGGCGGTGTACTTAAAGCTATCAAAGCTTTGCTCACTCTTTTGCTGCTGACCTTTTTACAGCATTTATTGCCTTTTATAGTGTTTCAAAAGTCCCTCCAGCATCCACCTGAAGGTCCTGAGTATTAATTATTATCATCACTCCTCACTCTCCTCTGAGCTGTGCTTGGTGCTTCCTAAAGGTTTGGTGGTGAATCACTTATAGATATGAGACTGCACTATACTCTTCTCATGTGCGGTCCGTAATGGTGCTTCTGGGTTTTCCTTTGGCATGCTTGTGAATCAACTTTGCACAATAGGTGGGCTAAACAAACAGGGGTATTGTTGAAATGCTTGCGCTTCATTGATTTGCTTTCACACCTCTTACCGCTGCTGTTTGTTTTCTAACTCCTTGGTACTATGTTGTTGTTTTTTTTGGCGTGACCTTGTGTCTGTGATTTATGTTTTGGGTGTAATGTTATTTTACGGGCTAAGAATCTTCTGCAGATTTCTGTGTGCCACTCTGTGCTATTCGTAACTTGTAGTTGACTGTGGGGTCAGTAGCAGTAGCCCGCTGCTGGGGCGTGGTTGACTCACTGTGTAGCTTGGCAGCGGTACAAGTCAGGCCTTGATTTCAGATGCGGTGATGTGGAGTGCCTGTTGGGGGGGGGGGGGGGGGGGGGGGGGGGGGGGGG